ACCGCAGCTGGCGGCACCGGCGGCCGAGAATAAATGTCCTCGGTGAAGGGGCGTAAAGCAGGAGAAGTGGCCTGCGCTGTGGATGTTTGCAACTGCGCTGTGCTGGCACCCGTGTGCGTGGAGCCCAGCTTGGAGCTTATAAGGCGTCGTTTGGAAATAATTTTATTGAAATTGCAATGTCTCCGTCATGATCTTTGGAAGGTTTCTGTCTGCATGGCAAAAGGTAGTTTCCCATGCCCGTGTCTTAAACAAGGAGCACCCGGTTAAGCAATCGAATGGGGTCCATTTCCCAGAAGGCTATTCATCGTGCTGAGTTCCTATGGAATTTTTCCAGAAGTTGGAAATTGTTTCGGAGGAAAATTCTGAACTTGTTCGGGAGTTCAGGTCTCCAATATCCCGGGCATGGCGTCACACTGCGAACCGGCAGCCCCGTTCAAAACGCCGTTTTTGGAAGTAGCACTGGTGCGAGCGAGGCGACAGGCTGAGCGAGTCTGACGTCAGCGGCCGGGAAGTGTGGCGGCTTCCGCGGGCCGACCCGGCCGTCACGCCCGTAACGCCCGTAACGCCCGTAACGCTCTCGACAGCCTCCAGGGTTTGCTCCTACTGATCGCACAGACATGAAGCTTTCAGCAGCGAGTCGCACAATTTTTTTAACGCCGTGTAATATTTCAGAGCGTCATATTCTAAAAAGGCCTCAATTTAGGCTGTTTGATCAGGCGACGTATCTCTGTAAGTTTGTGCTGGCGCCGCTGTTTCCCTTCACCCCCGATTGACCGGGAAAGCGCACAGTTATCCGTTGGGGAGAAACCTGAAGGGCGCGGGCTTGAGACAGGTCCTGACCTCTGGCCAGGCGTCGTAGCGAGATGGTTTGACTGATGCGGACAGAGGAAAAATCCAACTGTCACGCTTGCAAAACTGTGGACGCCGTGTCCAGACACAATCACGCGTAATCGTGGGCAAATCATGGACCCACACATTTCCTGTGGTGGAAGCATTTATTTCCGTTCTCGGCAATCTAGACAGGCCGATACATAGAGCCAGCTGTACAAAGTGCCGGCTTGCGAGTCATATAGCGATGTGATCGCTGCGCACAGGTGCGCGCGTGATAATCCTTTGCCACCTCTTCCGAAAGTGGCCTCAAATGCGACTCGCTGTAGCTACAGCAAGGCAGGTTGGTCAATGAACACTATGTAGGCACATGGTCCAGTGCACTGTGACCGGCGTCCAGCCAACATATTGCGACTGTTTCCAACAGTTTCCACACGGTCTCCAAAAGGTAAACTATTTCGAGTTATTTCACCTGGTCCATCAGATTGTGAGGCCGGGCCCGAGCTAACCACTACTCCATGCATAGTCAATGTTTCCCTTGAGGAGCTTGACCAGCAAGACGGAGGAGATGGCTGGGCTTCCACGGCTTCGGTCGTCACTGACAGGCGACCAGGCGGGGGGGGGGGAGGGGACGCCGGCGGACTAGGCTTCCGAGGAGGGGGAGGGGGGGAGAGTCGAGCCGACCGCCGCTGCTGATGACGGGACCGACAGGGCTGGGCCGGCGGCCGGAGGAACATTCCGCTGTGTCTGGTGCAGCCCGGTGCAAGCAGATACGCACAGAGACGTGGGCTGCATCCATCACCACCGCCGATCCCCACGCTGGCTATGCTGGCAGAACTCTTCCGTGTGGTGGACCGTGAACGGTTGCACGAAAGGACCGTGCAAGAACCTCGTTTGTGTTGGTTGCTGTTCTTTTAATCAGTGATTACCCGGTTGATGTTTTATGCACTGGGTTGGAGTTAACGTCATGTTGGCAAGTGTGCTGTTTGCTTAATGGTGTGAGCTTGTTCGTGATGTCGTTAATTATTTAGTGGTGCGCTCGCTTCCAATTCATGTGGGAGTAACCTCAGCCAGCAACCACCGTTCTTACACCCGGGATGTTTACATATGTCGTAAACGGACCACTAACTGACGGAGCGCGGCTGTGGCGCTGACCGCGGCGCCGCTGCTCGGCAGGCGGGCGTCCATGATGGCGCCGCGTCAGCTGTTCCGCGCCTCCAACATGGTGCAGAAGTGGCAGCGACGCGAGATCTCCAACTTCGAGTACCTCATGTTCCTCAACACCATCGCCGGTGAGTGCGGCGTCCGTCCGCCCGCCGACGCGCGGCCGGCCGGTCGTCATGGCGACGGCGAGCGACTCCAATGGCGCGTCGCCTCGCCCTGCAAGGCTCCGCCCGCCCGCTGCGCCGGCCGACCGACGAGCCGGGAGCGCAACACGCGGAACCGGCCGACGCCGAGGGCTATTACACGCGAGGCGCTGTCTGGTGGCCAGGTGTGTTATACCAAATTGGGGGGGGGGGACGGGGTAATGAAGACGCCTCAGCAGAATTTCCGCGCACCGCGCCGAAACGAGACCGTAACGGCGCTCCCAGCTCGCGGTAAACGTTATGTCTCGGTTATGAGCCCGAACGCCCCATAACCGCAGGTAACGCGCTGGGCAGCCATGTAGCGGCCCCTTTTAATCACTTAGCTGCGGCCGGCGGTGCCGTAACCGCGCTCATCGCCGCGATAACTCAGGCGGACGGCGCTCGGACGCGCCGGCCGCTCGCCGCTTCCCGGCGGAACAATGAGCTGCGGCTGCGCGCCGTGCCGTACCGGGCGGGCGGCGCGGCGGCGCGGCGGCGCCGGCGGCGTCATGGCCGCGGCCGTGGCCTCCTGTCGCGCGCAATGGAGCCGTCAGCAGCGCTGCGTTAGTTACGGCGCTGCCTGCACTCGGCTGCCGGCTAATTGGCGGGTGCAGGCCGGCCGGCGCCGGTGGTCGGCCGGCCGGCGCCGGGCAGCACCGGCGCCGGGCGGGCGGGCGCGCCGGGACGCGTGTCACGTCCGCGGCAGAGGGCGGCGCCGGCGGGCAGTGTGTGACGGGGTCAGCGCGGGCGGCGCTCGCACTGCCGTGACGGCGGCCCGACGGCCAGGCGGCTGCTGCTCCTGTTAACGCGACAGTCGGCCCTGGACCGCCGTAGAAGAGCTCGTCCTGACCCATACTGGCGCCGTATTCTGGTGTTGACAGTAAACAGGCCTCTTGTAAGACCTTAGGCAGCTCATGTCATAGCAGCTGGACAGCAGTTGGGGGCATTTGGGTCATTTCGTACCAAAGCGTAGTCGAAAAATACATTTGCTGTAGTTGTAGATATTTGCTAGGCGTGACTGCGTGACCCTGCACCGTCATGTTTGACTCCCAGTTACTATTCCAGACCGGTTTCTGGTCCTATGAGCTGTTCAAAACCTGCTGGGAATAAAAGACCGTAATGGTGATTCGTGAACCCGAACTCGGTCCCCCATCAGCCTTTTACCCGTGATGATCAAATCAAGCAGATGTCCCTAAGGCATGCTAAACTGCTCGGTATGTCCTGCAGATGATGCGCAGTAATAGGCTCACGGCCGGCTCTTGTTAAGCTTATGACCTCAGTGGCTGATGGGTACGGGCTGTGTTCAGGTCGGACGTACAACGACCTGAACCAGTACCCGGTGTTCCCGTGGGTCATCACCAACTACGAGTCGCCCGAGCTCGACCTCAGCCTGCCCAGCAACTACCGCGACCTTTCCAAGGTCAGTCTCACGTGGCGCACGCTCGTGCCGCTCGGGCTGTCCGAGGCCACGTGTTACGTGCTGTCAGCTGTTGCGGAGCGGTGTGGTCCCAGCTTTCCAGAGTGATGTCAACGATGCTTGTTTTCAGCTGTTTGAAGTTTTCAACTGATCATTGGTCACCAGATTTGCTTAGGATGGTCTGGGTCCGTATGTGACAATCTTTGACGGGTTTGTTCACATTCCACCTCGGCGATCATGGTTTTCTTCTGCGTTTCCTCGCATTGGTTTACAAACATGCAGCTGCTTCCTTGATGTCCGCTTCTCCTGGAATCCGGGGCAGCGTGTGCACTGATGTATTGCAACCGGTTTCGGGGACGTATTTTTCCGTGACAGTTGAGTCCGTCGCGTTTGCTTTATGTCGCACATTCTTTCGGGTGGCGAGCGTGCGTTCGAATGACGCTGGCACACATCGATGTCGGTACTTCAAAACCCGGTTTGCGGTGAAAAGATTTGTTTGGCACCGTTACGGCGTCTGGAAAAGATGTTATCTTTACAGAAAATATTTTCAGGTTTAGTGCGTTGTCACGCCCATTAGTGTATATTTCTACTCTATCCAGCCGTCGTTACGCTTTAACAATGAGACCATCATTCAAAGCTGCGTGTAGCGTGGCTTCCGCCTGTCTATGATTCGGAATGCCAGTCGGTCTGTCTTTGCGATTGCCGGCCGGTCTGTCATAGAGCGTGTCAGTGCGTGACCTCATCAGGAATGTCAGCCATGTCAGGCGGGCATGACATTGCGCGCGCCCGTCAGTGAGTGGCGGGCAGTGTCAGCCAGTCACCACAGACGTCCCGATGCATCGTTGGGGCGTTTCAGTCGTCAGTGGGAATGTCCGTGAGCAGTTCATTGTGGACGTCCGTCACCGGGCCGATGGCAGTCTCTTCGGGGTGTCGGCGTCGCCGCCGGCCTGTCGTCGGGGCCAGGCCATTAGGCCGCCGGCCGGATGGCCACAATGTATTGTTATTAGGCTCGCAATATGCCAAACAGCCGGCTGTAATGAACGTGTCACTCACTCGCTCCCCGCGCACGCAAATAAACGGTCACCGCAGTATGTCCACCGCGCCTGGTGTTCGAGCTGCCCCCCCCCCCCCTTACACACCCATCTCCGCAGCTGACCCCCCCCCCCCCCTGTCCACTGGTGCTGGGTAGGGTCACCGGTGCAGTGTGGCTAAACACTGCCGTGCGCAGGACGTGGCACGCGCTGTGTTTTTACTCAGTCGGTCTTGACGCGACCTTGTGACGTCACTGTATGGAGGTGCCCGCGCCGTGCGCGAGCAGCTGGCCAGAGACGTGGGCCCTAGGGGTCAGCTGGCGCCTGCTCGGTGTTGTAACACGCCAGACTCGGACCGCGCTCTGGTGCCGCCCGCAGCCGGTGGGAGCCCTGAACCCGACGCGCAAGTCATTCTTCGAGGAGCGCTACAGCAGCTGGGAGCACGACCAGATCCCGCCGTTCCACTACGGCACGCACTACAGGTCTGTCGGCCGGCGCGCGCTCCCCGGCACACTCGGGGCCGGTCTCGGCTGCGCCGCCTGCTGCGTAGACCCGTGATCAGAGCGCGGGATCACGAGCATCAGGCGTTTCACGTCGTCACGCTGGGCGCGACGTTAGTCTGCCCCAATCATCTGAATGTTCGAAGTCGTCCTTTTTAGTCGGAGGTGGGCGACGCTGGTGTGTTGTAGCCTTCTCAGTAGTGACGCGGGATAACGCCGGACGATCCAGCAGCAAGCGGCCGCCGGCGCCGGTCACCACTAACGCCACAAGGCGAGCACCGCGCCGCACGAACACCGCAAGACTGCCTCACGCTGACCTGGCCTGTGCTGCACCGCCCTGTCCTACCGTGACCTGACCTAAGGTCGCGTTGTGTTTCAGCACGTCGGCGTTCACGCTGAACTGGCTGGTGCGGCTGGAGCCGTTCACCACCATGTTCCTGGCGCTGCAGGAGGGCAAGTTCGACCACCCCAACCGGCTGTTCTCCTCGGTGCTGCTCTCCTGGAAGAACTGCCAGCGCGACACCAGTGACGTCAAGGTGCGGTCGCGCTGCTCCCGGACGGCACCGTGGCTGTGCGCCGCCGGACCGGACGGGCTGGCAGGCGCGCGGCCGGTGCCGGGCGCTGGCTGCTGTTGCCGGTGTTCGATGGTGTTCGTCAGCTGTCGGCCGCCTGGCTCGTGTGGCGGGGCTGCCGCGGTCCGTCTGGCCATGCGAGCATGTGATGTCAACGCTTTGACATGTATCGGACTCGCTCAGGGCCTTCTTTATTACGCTGGCAACTGGACGTGTTTGATGATGCATGTGGTGTACAAAGTTGATGGCCCGGGCCAAGCAGAGGTGTCTCGTGCGTCTACGCAGCTGGCTGGCCCAACCCGAAAGCCCGCCTCACGGCACGGGCTCAGTGTTTCACTTTGGTAGCCGTATGGGGGCATGCGCCGCCGCGCGTCCCGTCACCGCCAACCCTGTGTTCGGAGGTCAGGCAAGGCGTGCTCCGCCCGCCAACCAGCGGCAGATGGCGCCACGAGCTCGGGGTGGCGGCGCGCGCGCCGTCGCGTCTCCTGCCGCACCCTGACCCCTCCCCGACTCCGCCCTGACCCCGCGCCGTCCGCTCCCACAGGAGCTGGTGCCCGAGTTCTACTACCTGCCCGAGATGTTCATCAACAGCTCGCAGTACAAGATGGGCCAGACGGAGGAGGGCGTCACCGTGGACTCGGTGGCGCTGCCGCCCTGGGCGCACTCACCCGAACACTTCGTTCGCACCAACCGGCTGGTACGTGGCACCGACGGAACGTACGGCAGTGCGCGGCGCCGACAGATCGCGCGGCAGTACGCGGCGCCGACAGAGCGTGCGGCAGTACGCGGCGCCGACAGAGCGTGCGGCAGTGCGTGGCAGAGCGCGCGGCAGTACGTGGCGCCGACAGAGCTCGCGGGCACCGACAGAGCGCGCGGCAGTACGTGGCGCCGACAGAGCGCGCGGCAGTACGCGGCGATTACAGAGCGCGCGGCAGTACGGCAGTACGTGGCGCCGACAGAGCGCGCGGCAGTACGTGGCACCGACAGAGCGCGCGGCAGTACGTGGCGCCGACAGAGCGCGCGGCAGTACGCGGCGCTTACAGAGCGCGCGGCAGTACGTCAGTACGCGGCGCCGACAGAGCGCGCGGCAGTGCATGGCAGAAGCCCGCGGCAGTACGTTGCACCGACAGAGCGCGCGGCAGTACGTGACACCGACAGAGCGCGCGGCAGTACGCGGCGCTGACAGAGCGCGCGGCAGTACGTCAGTACGTGGCACCGATAGAGTGCGCGGCGACTCTGCCGGCGCTCCGCGGACATGGGCCTGGTGTGTTGTCAGGCGCCGCTGCTGGAGAGATCCTTCATTGCTCGATCACAGGGACATTGGTGCAATCTGACCATGCTGTCAGTTCTGGTTGGGGTGATAGCGTAATCTGTAGCTGGGATGAGTAAATCAGGCACCATCTCTTCGTGTTCCGTCTCTCCTTGGATGACGTTGCGTGTATGAAAACCGCGTTGTCTGCTTAGCGGACTGCACGCCTTGTCATGTCTTGCCCAGACGGTGGCGCGTTCTTCGGGCCGTTCGTGACGGCGAGGTCACAGTGGCACGTGTGTTACGCTGTGGCAGGCCCTCGAGTCGGAGATCGTCTCGTGCCAGCTGCACCAGTGGATCGACCTCATCTTCGGCTACAAGCAGCGCGGTGAGTCGGCAGTCGCTGAGGCTGAGGCTGAGGCTGAGGCTGAGGCTGAGGCTGAGGTTGAGACAGGCTGACACTGAGGCTGACACTGAAGCTGAGGCTGAGGCTGAGGCTAAGGCTGAGGCCGAGGCCGAGGCCGAGGTCGAGGTCGAGGTCGAGGCCGAGGCTGAGACTGAGACTGAGACTGAGGATGGGGCTGAGACTGAGGCTGAGGATGTGGCTGAAACTGATACTGAGATTGAGACTAAGACTGAGATTGAGACTGAGTCTGAGGCTTAAGCTGAGACTGAGACTGAGACTGAGTCTGAGGCTTAAGCTAAGGCTGAAGCTGAGACTGATACTGAGACTGAGATTAAGACAGATTGAGACTGGGTCTGTGGCTTAAGCTGAGGCTGAGACTGAGACCGAGACTGAGACTGAGACTGAGTTTGAGGTTTAAGCTCAGGCTGAGACCAGGACTGAGGCTGAGGCTGAGACTGGGGCTGAGACTGACATTAAGACTGAGATTGAGACTGGGTCTGAGGCTTAAGCTGAGGCTGAGACTGGGACCGAGACTGAGACTGAGTCTCAGGCTTAAGCTTAGGCTGAGACGGAGACTGGAATGAGGCTGAGGCTGAGGCTGAGACTGGGGCTGAGACCGAGACTGAGACTGAGGCTGAGGCTGAGGCTGAGGATGTGGCTGAGACTGATACTGAGACTGAGATTAAGACCGAGATTGAGACTGAGTCTGAGGCTTAAGCTGAGGCTGAGACTGAGTTTGAGGCTTAAGCTGAGGCTGAGACTGAGTTTGAGGCTTAAGCTGAGGCTGAGGCTGAGGCTGAGGCTGAGGCTGAGGCTGAGGCTGAGACTGAGACTGAGGCTGAGGCGGAGGCTGAGACTGAGGCCGAGGCTGGGCTGAGACTGAGCTGAGGATGAGACTGAGGCTTGGGCTGAGTCGGGTGTGCGGCTAGGGGCGTGGTCGGGACCAACAGTTGGCGCTACAGGTGGATGGGTCATGATCCGGCCTGCTGAGTTCGATGGGGAGTGTGATGGGGCGCACGGAGGTCATGGTGGCTGGCGATGTGTTTCTCATGATGCAGATAACTGCCGATAGTTCGATCGAACAATAACCTGTCTCAGAAGCATATATGTTGTGATCGTTGGCCTTACCTGGTCCCCATGCACTTGAGACGTTGCAAGCTATCTTAAAAGTTTTCCGTGGCCAGGTTCCTTACCTGGATATCTGCTTTACCGGCGCCAATGTAACTTACAAAAATTGTGCCGATCATGGACGGGCGGTTCTAGACCGTGTGGACTCTCGCTGTTGACGGTTATTTATACCTTTGATAATTCGGCACGGCCGCCGCGACCAGGAGTGGGCGGGCGGGCAGGCGAGTGCGTGCGCGTGTGCCGCGGGCCAGGGCAGCGGAGCCCAGACTCTCCGCCCCCGGCGCCGTCATGGCCGATCCTGCCGGCAGGCCCCGAGGCCGTCAGGGCCACCAACGTGTTCTACTACCTGACGTACGAGGGCAACGTGGACCTGGACTCGCTGACCGAGCCGGTCATGAAGGAGGTGGGTGCGACGACCGGGGCCGCGCTCCGGCTATTTCCGCGTTGTTTGTGTGACAGGCATTGTCTGTTGCGTTCGTATTGCTTTCATTCCGTATCGCTCGCGTCTTCCGCTGACACCGTCGGTTGGAGCTGTCGCGACATTACTCGCTTGGAGGTCTGACCACGTTCAAACCAGGCGTTCAGACAAAGTCGCTGGTTCCATCCAGCGCGCACACCGCGTCTCGTTTTGGCTCGCTTGTGAGGTGAGCTCCTGCGTCGACGGCGCGCCTTCCCGGGGCCCCGGCGCTGATTCGTCCGTGGACGTGTCGCTGATTCGTCCGTGGACGGTGTCGCCGTCCGTCCACAGGCCATCAAGAACCAGATCCGCAGTTTCGGCCAGACGCCGTCCCAGCTGCTGATGGAGCCGCACCCTCCGCGCAGCTCGGCCATGCACCTGGTGAGCGGGCCACGCCAGACACCCGGGCCGCCGAGGTACCGGACAGACACCCGGGCCGCCGAGGTACCGGACAGACACCCGGGCCGCCGAGGTACCGGACAGACACCCGGGCCGCCGAGATACCGGACAGACACCCGGGCCGCCGAGGTACCGGACAGACACCCGGGCCGCCGAGGTACCGGACAGACACCCGGGCCGCGAGGTACCGGACAGACACCCGGGCCGCCGAGGTACCGGACAGACACCCGGGCCGCCGAGGTAACCGGACAGACACCCGGGCCGCCGAGGTACCGGACAGACACTGGGCCGCCGATGTACCGGACAGACACCCGGGCCGCCGAGGTACCGGACAGACACCCGGGCCGCCGAGGTACCGGACAGACACCCGGGCCGCCAAGGTACCGGACAGACACCCGGGCCGCCGAGGTACCGGACAGACACCCGGGCCGCCGAGGTACCGGACAGACACCCGGGCCGCCGAGATACCGGGCAGACACCCGGGCCACCGAGATACCGGACAGACACCCGGGCCGCCGAGGTACCGGACAGACACCCGGGCCGCCGAGGTACCGGACAAGACACCCGGGCCGCCGAGGTACCGGACAGACACCCGGGCCGCCGAGATACCGGACAGCTCTGGCGATCCGGGTGGGGTGCCGAGCGGCTCCTCAGTTACCCGGGCGGGGTGTTGATCGACTTCTCAGTTATCCGGGCGGGGTGTTGATCGACTCCTCAGCTATCTGGGCGGGATGCAGAGCGACTCCTGAACTATCTGGGCGGGGTTCAGAGCAACTTTAACCACCATGGCGGGGTGCTGAGCGACATCAGTTGTCGTTTTAGACAAGTCGAGCAAGTTCAGTTATTGTGGGGGTTAAAGAAAAGGACTCTCAATCATCCCAGATTCTTAACGGGGCGACATTGGCGATCCTGGTGGCGGAATGAGGCGACACCAGCGTCTGAGGTGATTGTGCCTGGCTGCCGATCGTGGTGGTAGGGTTCTCAGCCCGGGCATGTGACCCGAGACCGACTGGCGATGCTGCACTCTCTGCTCGTATCAGTCCCGCCAAGGAGGGAGCTCCGACAGACGATAAGGAAGAGGGGAGGGAATGTTACCGGTCGGTACATCTGCCTGATTAGCGTGATGTGGAGTGGCGCAATCTTCGATGGGTTTTAAAAATTCGATTTTTGCGGTGAATCACTGCAGGCTTATCGGAAGAACATCGCTTAACTGCCGCGGAGTTTCGTGCATAAAATGTGCCGGACTTGTCAGCAGCAGCATATCTCCATGAGGACAACACCCCACTTATCCATTTAGACGTACGCGTCACACTCAACGGGCTCAGCTACGCTTCACGCAGAGACTGATGGAGGCCACACCGTAGCGAACTGGGGCTGTACGTGGGGCCGTAAGTGTACGGGGCTGTAAGTGGGGCCGGGCTTGTGCTGATTCATTGCCCACCCTCAGCACATTACAAGCGGGTATTGTATTGTGCATTGCTGTGTTCTATTGTAACAAAAAATGCCGCCTATGTGTGCCCTCTGCTTTCTCCTTTTGACATCGGGTCGTCCCTGAAATGGCCCGCCGTGAGCAAGGAGTGGATGTGTCGTGATGAGGTGTTGATGGCCGTCGGTGTGATGTGTGGCCGAGCTGGTGTTGTGACGCGCAAGACTAGTGCCGTGTCCGTGACGCCGCCGCTGCCCCGCCGCCAGTCGCCGATGATGTTCAGCGCGCCGCCGGACGACGTCTGCATGATCATGAAGTTCCTGAGCAACTCTCCGATCGTGCACATGTCGGCCAACACGTACCCGCAGCTGACCGTGCCGTCGGTGCTCACCGTCACGCAGAGCCAGCAGTTCGCCGTCAACCGCTGGAACCCGCTCTTCAACAGTGAGTGGCGGCCGACGGCGCGGGACGACGGCCGCGCCGCGCCGCGGAGCTGCTCCGGGGGGGGGGGGGGGGGCTGCGGAGGAAGGGAGCTCTTGTCGGGATAGTGTCGGAAGTTAGGGCTCTCAGCGGTGGGCTTCAGCCCCGCCAGCGTCGCCGGCCTCCCCGCCTTCCCTCGGCAGAGCAGGAGCTCTGGTGGGAACCATCACGGAATCCACACCTGGTGTGCCGAAGCAGAATTTTTTTTAAAAAACCGGCGGTAGCCTCGCAAACGATCTCCCAACTTCCTCGTGGATCACTTGATGTTGTCTCCAGTGGTTGACCCGCCAGATAAGGTCTTACTAGATCAAGCATGTGTCTCTCGTCTCCTCGTAGCATTGCAATGGCCTGGATCATGTCATCTTGTCTCCAATGGTTGGCCTGTCGGATTAGGGCTTAGTAGGTCAAAACATGTATTTTTTGTCTCTACGTATCATTGGATCGCGGAACACAACGGAGTCATGCCAAGGCAAGCAAAACTTACAAGATTCGTGGGAGGTGATCCGAGGGCATTCACTGACCTTTCATGACCTTGGTCGTGGATGGCCTCGCGCCCTTACCATCTGCATGCTCATTGACCAAATCAGTGCACCGTTAAAGATCCGCTGACGCTACTTGGCTCTTTTTAACGATGTTGTCATGTCTATCTCATCTTTGTCCGCCGGCTATGTCTGTTTCTGTCGCTGTCTCTGGCTTTGTCTCCGTCGCTGTCGCTGTTGCCGTCTCTGCCTGTCACAGTTTTCACCTTGGATAACCATCAAATCGCCACTGCCAGCCAAGCGATGCTCCTCATTCACTCGGTGTGTAGTTTGACGGGGTCCAGGGCCAATTTGAAGCGGTTCTCAAGCTTTGACCTGAGGTGACCTGTGGCATTAGGGAAGGCTGCGGGTATTGGTAAGGGTCACGATAAAGGGTCACTCGATGCATTGAAAAGCGCGGATAAGGACATGCGCTCACGTAGCTAAGACAGAGACGAGGGTTGCTGATTTTGCACTTTTCGCCGTGAAGTCATGTCAGAACATTGTCGTACGTCGGGAACCAGACATGGGCGGAGCTTACAACTTACAGGTCGGATATTAAATGGCATAGAATTTAGTTAAGGACAATGCTGTCATGATGCGGCGCCATTCGAGAAGCTCCATAAAAAGGCCTTTTGCCGACGTGTTTCGGAAAGAAGCTCAAAACTGGACTGTGGTGGCATCCGCAGGGCTTTATCGTGGTATATGGACCACAGCCGCCGTGCATTTACAGCAGCCGGGGTCGGCGCTGCGGGTCCGGGCGGAGTGGTTCCCGGATGTCCCCCGATAATAGTGCCGTGATGATAGTGTGTCGTCCCGATAATAGTGCCGTGATGCCAGTACGTCGCCCGGATAATAGTGTCGTGGTGGTAGCATGTCGCCCCGATAATAGTGGTGCGATGCCAGTATGTCGCCCCTATAATAATGCCGTGATGCCAGTATGTCGCCCCGATAATAGTGCCGTGATGATAGTATGGCGCCCCGATAATAGTGCTTGATGACAGTATTTCGCCCCGATAATAATGCCGTGATGCCAGTATATCGCCGGGATAATAGTGCCGTGATGTCAGTATGTCGCCCCGATAATAGTGCCGTGATGCCACTATGTCGCCCCCGATAATAATGCCGTGATGCCACTATGTCGCCCCGATAATAATGCCGTGATGTCGGTATGTCGCCCCGATAATAATGCCGTAATGTCGGTATGTCGCCCCGATGATAATGCCGTGATGACGGTGTGTCCCCCCCCCCCACGATAATAGTGACGTGGTGACAATATGTCTCCCGGTGATAGTGCCGTGATGTCGGTATGTCGCCCCGATAATAGTGGCGTGATGCCAGTATGTCACCCCGATCATAGTGCCGTGGCGACAGTACGTCGCCCCGGACAATCAGCAGCCGTGACCGCTTTGCAAATACGCGGTGTCTGCCCAATAGTGATATGTGTGGCAGAAGCTCAGCAATGCATTTATGAATTAGAAGAGTTCAAACGTTTGCACGTTTGCTTCGTTGCGGTTACTTTTAAAGGTGGAAACATTAATCATCTGTGTTTTGCAGCTGGCTTTACGCCTCTAGCTGCTCTATGTGCCGATATATGGTGCAAGATGTGAAGAGAAAAAAAAACGGTGGACAACGACCAAATTCATTTTGCTGACTCATGAATGCGTGACGCGCAGCACGTGCGACATTACAATATGTAGCGACATAACAATGCACCACGTGATTGTGCGATCGATTGTTTATCAATACCTGCCGCTCCTAGTGACTCCGCGCCCTGAGTGCCGAGATGTGGCACAAAACTGGCAGACCTAAAAAAGCGAATTCAATCTTCCCGGAGCGTATAGATGTGACACGTGACCCACGTGTGTGCACACTCGAAAATACACGGCTGCCGGCCTAATTCCTTATCACGGCATGTCAGTCCCGTGCCACCACGTGCTCTGGACGAGACATTGTGGCCTAAAACGCGACAACCGACGAAATAGGCAAAGTGCATCTTAACAGCTGGTGTGCGCGTGACACACGTGACGTCAAATTTTGCGCCACGTGATTGGCCGTCAGATTGCCTGTCGAAGCATGTCACTCCCGAGTGGCCCCGTGCCCTGGGGGCCGAAATTAGGCAAAACCGAGCAAACCTTTGAAAAAACGACTGCTTGCCTAGCACGTGCGCATCATGCCACGTGGCACCTGTGACCAAATGTTTTTTGTGAGGTGATGGCTCGTGACATTACTTATCAAAGTGTGCTACTCACGTGTCGCCTTGAGCCCTGGGTGCCGAGATGTGGCACAAAATGTGAACACCGTTGAAAGCAGCCAAATCCATCCTGCCAGCTCGTGTGAACGCGACACGTGGCCCGCGTGACGAAAACTGAGCACCACCCAGTCGCCCACTTCATTCGCTTTTGAAGAATGGGACTTCCGTGACAGTTCGTTTGTGAACTCCCGTAAATACGGTGTCGGTAAAAAAAAAAACGGGCATGTCACGTGCTTCATGTTTGTCCGCCTTGAGCACTGGCTGCGGACGCTCTGTCAGCTCACCTAAAGGAATCATTACACAGCTTCGAGAAAGAATCGTTGGCATAAAATTGTCTAGGTTAGCCCTGCGTAGCTGTGGACGGCTGATGCTAGGCTCCGGGTCGTGCCTGCAGCACGCGATCATTTTGACGGATCTTACGCTGCCGCACGTTCCGCGAGGGGGATCCACGCTGTCTGGAGAAGGTCGCTATCAGCGCCGCCCTCCGAGGAGTGCTGGCGGTGGCCGGACTCGGACGGTAAGAACCCCCACCGTCTGGAGAAGGTCGCTATCATCGCCGCCCTCCGAGGAGGGCTGGCGATGGCCGGACTCGGACGGTAGTCGGGATTAAGTGTACTATCTCCTCGGGGTCGCCAGGCCGGCGCGGCGCGTCTCCTTGACGGCTGGACTGTTGCGCCTCGCCACCGGCGGTGGCTTTGTCACTGGGTGGCACTGCGTCGCTCCTCCGGTGCTGACCGAGCCGCGGCACTGCGTCGCTCCTCCGGTGCTGACCGAGCCGCGGCACTGCGGCGCTCTTCCGGTGCTGACCGAGCCGCGGCACTGCGGCGCTCCTCCGGTGCTGACCGAGCCGTGGCTTTGCGCCGCTCCTCCGGTGCTGACCGAGCCGTGGCTTTGCGCCGCTCCTCCGGTGCTGACCGAGCCGCGGCACTGCGTCGCTCCTCCGGTAGTGACCGAGCCGTGGCTTTGTGCCGCGTCTCCGGTGCTGACCGAGCCGCGGCACTCCGTCACTCCTCCGGTGCTGACCGAGCCGCGGCACTGCGCCGCTCCTCCGGTGCTGACCGAGCCGTGGCACTGCGTCGCTCCTCTGGTGCCTCCACCGCGTCACACAACCGGCGCCAGAAACGACACGCCGGTCACCGCCGTCGGCAGTGTCGGTCCCAGACACGGCAACGGCGCTGCTCATCTAGCTTGGCTGCTGAGCCAGCGTGGCTGCTCAGCCAGCACGGCTGCTCAGTCAGCGTGGCTGCCGAGCCAGCGTGGCTGCTCCACCGGAAGGTCGTCATTCTTGACTTCGGAGGATGAAATCCACATCTTCCAAACCAATTGCTATTGCCAGGTCAACGTGGATGGCATTAGGTTATGTGCATTGGGATAGTGTTGCAGTTTGCAATTCTTGTTTCTCTGTGGACGGAAAGGAAGGAAAATGTCGACCTAAAGTTACGTAAACGTAGCTAGCTTTTGACGGAGAACTTTTCGGTGGCGGTTTTAATCCTGCACGATCAGTATGTGTGGGGGGGGGGGGGGTTGTAGAGTGCACAGTCGTCGGACGTTTTAGGACTTACTGGGCTTTTTATATTATCTGTAACTTCATGACTGTCGTTATACAAGTTGACTTCCTGTTTTCCCGAGAAGGATCAGCGCTATCGAATGTCGTTTGGGTTTCCCCCACCGATCCTCAGATAGCGCAAAGTGGTCAGAGATCAACACTACGTGTTCCCGGTGACGCAACACCACAGGTGATGTCGTATTGACACGCTCGCTATGCTGGGCTCGCCGGGAGATCTAGGACTTCCCGCTGCCATGTCCGAGTAGTCACTTTTGGGCTACAACTTTGTGTGCCACGCTCGCTGACCGACTGTCTGGGTGTCGCCATGCTGGGTTTGCCGGCAGGGCCAGGACTTCTCGCTGCCATCTCCGAGTAGCCACCTTGTGTACCACGCCCGCTGACCCGCTGTCTGGGTGTCGCCGCCGCCCCTTTGGGCTGTGTCTGGCGCATCAGTGACCACCCCGCCTACCATCCGTGCGCCCACCCGCGCTCGCCGCTAACCGGTCGTGCCGCTCGCGCGCCAGGCGGCCAGCCGGCCAGCCCGCCGTACGCGGACGCTGTCACGCCGCCGCTGAACCTGCCGCTGGCCATGGACCCGGCCGTGGCGCAGCAGACGTCCGGCGGCACTCCGCCGGCGCGCCGCCACCTCGGCGACAACTTCTCGCAGCGGCTCGAGCCGCGCTACAACTCCTTCATCACCACCGTCGACTCCAAGTTCATCATCGCCTGCGGCTTCTGGGACAACAGCTTCCGCGTGTTCTCCACGGACACGGGTGAGTGGCCGGCGGCCGGTGCTGTCGCGGTCGGGGCGCTGCCGGCGCCGGGACGCGCGCCGCTATCGGCTGCAGCTGGCGGCGCTCGTCGCCAGATATGGGCCCATATTGCTAGGCAGCGAACGGCGTCAGCTCACGCGACCCGTTCGGATGACGGCTGTGCCCGTCGTGCTGAGCGATTCTTTTGGGCCTGATGTCGTGCTGGGCCTTATCTAGTTGGTGTAGTGTCACATACTTGAGAGATCGCGTGGTGCATAAGCCAGGGGTCTGTATATTGCGGTGTAGCTGGTGTTGGTTTATCAGTTTTGTGTTATCAAGTTTGTTCGCGCCGCATGGCAGGCCGTTTAATGAGACGCTTGTGTAGACCGACCGGCATTGCAGAAGACCAAGCCTGGGCGGGTGGCGTTTCTCCAGATGCGGAGGGGACGGAACCGACAAAGTGCGGTTGACGTGCGGGTGTACGCGACTAGATTGCCCGTCAGGCCGCCATCCGGGTAATGGGGCCCTCCAGTCCAGTGATGGACGACGACACTGACGTGGGGTGGAATTTCGAGCCGCACAATGCTACGGCACGGCCGCCCAGTGATGGCCGCAGTGTCGCTGAACTGTTTAAGTTCCGCTACTTTTGAAGTTCTGCTACTTTTCCAAGTTCCGCCACTTTTCAAGTCCCCCGCTTTTCTCTTGGGCCAAGGTTTCCGAGGTCAGGAGAACTGAGCTGAAGTTCAGCGTCCTATTTTTGTTTTATCATAGTTCAGCTGAGGATAGCAAAACAGTAATAGCTGTGTGCCTACCGTGACAGCCTGTCACGAACCGAGCGATGCCTAGCACAAACATGCATGACTATGAGTAAGCTGTATTCGAGCATAGCTGGCATTATGCACATTCGGTTGGACCGCAGTGTTCGCTGTAACGCCGAGCTGGCCCCGAGCCACGTCGATTCGGCTGAGCTGATCTCGCGTTTATCGTGTGACGTCACGTGATTATTGTGGCGTGCTTGCCGCGTCTCGTGGTGCGGGCAATGCGGCCACCTCTCCGGTTGGACAGCCCCGGGCGGCGGCCTCGCTCTCGACGCTTCACACCCAGCGGCATCTGGCCTCCCGCCTACCGTGGTGCGAGAACCCCCCCCCCCCCCCACCCCCACCCCCACCCCCCTCCTGGCGCGGCCGTACGGCGCGCGTAGCAGCTCAGTCCTCCTTGGCACGCTTGTTCTTCTTCCTGAGGATCTTCATGAGGCTCTTGGACATGTAGTATGGCTTCTCGGCCGAGCCGTCGTTGCTTTCGAGATCCTGCAGGAAGCAGAGGAAGATGGTGTCCACGGCCATCGTGTACACGCTGAAGAAGACGCTGGCGACGAAGAAGGAAGCGATGGCGATGGTCGCCACAGGCACCCAGCTGTGCTGCGTGTTCGGCACGTGATCTTCTAGGCCCTCGATCTTGTTGCGACCGTCGATGACGTAGAATGAGCCAATGGTGACCAGCGCCGTCACGACCAGCTTGCCGAGCAGCAGCATGATGTCACACGTGCTGTCCACTACCACCACCCGCAGGATGTTCCGCATCAGCAGCTTGAAGGCATTCTTGGCCGACATGCAGAAGTTGGTGCCATATTGAGCGCACATGATGTAGGCGTTGCGATTGATGAAGCGCATGAACTTCTCCAGGCACCAGAGGCAGCACTTGCAGCAGCAGATGACGGCGCGCGTCAGCACGTTGTCGAGGTGCGCACGGCTCTTGCGCGCGATGTAGTCCAGCGCGACGCGCGCCATGCGTATGAGCGCGATCAAGAGCGAGCCGAACGCCAGCGTGCCCAGATGGTAGCGCACGGTGCGGCCGGTGCTGTCGAGCAGCGGCGTGGCTGGCAGGTCGTGCCGCTTGTCGAACGTCCAGTACCAGGCGGCGAAGGCGCCGGCCAGCACCATCTCGCCCAGCGCCGAGCAGAAGAACAGGCCCCAGAACAGGCCGAACGTGTTGTAGATGTGCAGATAGGTGACAGCGCGGTGCTGGGTGAGGCCGTCGGCGCTACACTCGCCGCCGCAGCTGCCGCACTTGTCGTCTTGGAACTTGTGCGGCTTGCACGGCCCGAACAGCTGGTAGTTGTGGCAGCAGCCGTTGGGCAGCTTCATCACTGTGAAGCTCTGCTCGCCCAGCGAGGCGATGAAGAGCGCCGTGGACACGAACAGCGCTATCACGGCCAGCTGCAGCAGCCAGGGCAGCAGCGGGAAGAATAGCGTGCTCAGCGAGCTGGTGACGGCTCTGCTGGCCTGGTTGAGCATGGCCGTGGCGATCCGAATCCGCTTGTAGAGAACGAGCAGCACTAGCAGCAGCAGCACGCCCACCGCGCACAACGCCACGAAGAAGATCAGCCACGTCCCCTGCTGGTCCAGCAGCGAGCCGAAGCCGCTGGTGAAGACGTTGAACGGGTTGATTTCGGCGCCGGGCACGCCCTTGAGGTCGTCGTAGCGCAGGTAGGTGTACACGCACCCGTAGACGACGGCGCCCAGCGCGCCCAGGAACGCTCCCCAGATGAGCACGGCCGCCACGAAGCGGAGCAGGAAGACCCAGAGGAGAGAGAGCAACATGGCGACCACGCAGGCCACCACGATCACCCACCAAGAGTGCTGTAGGTCGCTGAACGCATCCATGCCGAGGCCCTTGAGGCTGGCCAGTTTGCCCGCGAGGTCGGCGCCGCGCTTCAGCATATTGATGTCGAGGAAGCCTTTGCCGGTCTGGTCCTTCACTAGATGCCCAGGGTTCAGGTCCCCGGGGCCGATGTTGGGAATGCACCGCCCGAGCACGGCGACACTCTTCAGAACGTACGGGGCGCACCGGCCGCTGCCGGACTTGATTTCTGAGCATTTCACCGTCGTCGGGTCCACTCCCTCCTCGCAGACGAAGTGGCTCTTCACATTACTGTTACACTCGTCTTCCTGAATATTTCTGAAGTTGTACGTCTCGTTGGGGCAATGCGCCACGCACACCTGCTTAGTGGGGCATCGGATGACTTCCCTGATGTTCGTGCACTGCGTAATGTCGAAGTAGTCCAGGTAGGGCTTATCGGCGACGTCGGTGCCTGGCGCGCCGCAGGGGTGGCCACGCGAGTCGACGGCGTGTAGCAGCAGCGCCGGGTCGCCGCGCGCGTACGCGAACGCGGCGACGGCCACCCAGCCGGCCAGGAACGCCACCCACACCAGCAGGCAGAGCACATCCGTGCAGGAGCGGCGGCGCGCTGGCCCGGCCGGCTCCCGTTGCTGCGAACTGGCCATGGCGCCGCGGGACCGGGCGGAGGACAGCGGGACGCGCGACACCGGCGGCGCACCGCTGCGACGCCGTCTGAGTGGCGAACTGGCACCCCGCACGCCCGCCGCCGACCGCACCGATTAGCTATCAGTGCCGGGTATCGACGGCGGCGTCTGCCGGACGGCGGCGCCGCCCCGCCCTGCCTCCCCACAGCCGAGCCGGCTGCTCCTGACGCTCGGCGGCCGGCCTGCTATCGGCTGGCGGCGCGGCGGCACGTCTCGGTGCCGGCGCGCCGTCGTCTCACGCTCGCGGGACGGTGACGGTGGCGGGCCGGCGTGCACGGCCCGGAGGCATGCCCAGCTCTGTCACGTCAGGCCACCGGCACGGCAGCGAGCTGGCCGCCGCCCTCTCGGCGGCCGCGCTCCTCCTGTGAGGCGGCTGTCCTCTGGGGGTACGGATGACGTGGATCTGTGCGCTTTGAAAATAATGGCCTCTGCGCGCGACGGCTGTCGGCTTGGGGTGTATGCTCAGCGCGCTGGGTTTACCGAAAGCGCATGTCAGAGATTGGGAGATATCGCACTTTTGCACTTGACAGTCACCACGTCGATGATAAGGACGAGTGTTATCACCTGTGACGTAGGACTTTCATGAAACGGCTGATGTAAAAACAAGAAACAGAAAACTATACCGGTGAGACGCTTCGGTAATCAACATCTCCCACTTAAGACCTCCGTGATTTTCACAGCTGTATTGTCTCTTGAATCAAGGTTCAGGAGACAGTTGTGGTCTTTGAAGCTCACTTCTTCACCACAATCGATCCCACCTGACGATAAAATAGCCTAGCGTGCGAGCTGGCGTATTAGGGCACGAGCGCGTGCAACAGCCAGCAAATGCGTGCTTCGGTGCAGTTTGGTGCAAATGCGCCCAGCACCAGTCCCTTTGAGCGCTGCGTTTCCTTGTGATTCTGTTCAGAAATCGACGTCGGATGAAGTCATCTGACGTGCCTGGTGACGTCATATCTCAACATGACCGTTTCTGCAGTACGCCCGGAATAAGTCGTCCTCAAGCCGTGCGGAATCTATCATGTTCTGGCGTGACATAGATGTACGTGCAGGCATCAAGACTACCTTGGAGGCGTCACAAGTCTGCACATCCTGAAGTAAAGCAAAGCAGCACCCGTGCGGTGTACACCGTATGTTTTAAGCCCCAAAACGCGCAAATCCCTCATTCTCTGGTGAGGGATTGTTGGCCCGTGCAGCAAAGTCGCCGCGCGCTGTATTCCGATTGCTGCCTCAGTTCCTAGGCCAGGTAAAGGTAAAACGTGGGTGAAGTATTTCCTGTGCCGCTGTGAACGAGCTGGCGCCACAGATAGATATTTTCCGATAAAGTACGAGCATGCAGGATCCGTGTTGGAGGCGACAGAGATAGTTGGGATGACGTCTGACGTCACGGGTGCGTCATCGGTATACCCGCCTGATGGGCGTTCTCTGGGTGGGGGTGCGCCCGGCCGTGGGTGGGTGTTCCGGCTTGCGCCACGGACGGTCCCGGCGTCCCGGGCGCCTGCCAGGCCCGCTTCCGCCGGCCGTCGCCTGTGATCGTCGCCCCTGCCGCTCTGGCGTGTGTGCGGACGTGATCTGCTCTGCGGTGACGTGGCCGGGCCTGAAGGACTTGGCGTGCCTTCTCTGATGCTCTCTGAGCAGACCCGCGCGACCGACCAACTGACCAACCGACGCGGCTGACCAAAAGACCCGCGCGGCTGACCAAAATACCCGCGCGGCTGACCAACTGACTAACTGACGTGTCTGACCAACAGACCCGCGCGGCTGACCAACTGACTAACTGACGCGGCTGACCAACAGACCCGCGCGGCCGACCAGCTGACTGCCTGACGTGTCTAACCAACAGACCCGCGCGGCTGACCAACTAACCACCTGACGCGTCAGCCTGAATCGATGCGTGCGACTCGATCACAGCCGTTGCCAGCGAAAGTCTCATCCGCCTGATGGTGGCTGCGGGGACGGGGACGAGACCTGCGCCAGCGACCTGCCCGCACCTCCCCCGCTCTGACACGCGCCGCCCCGCCATGCTGCCCCAGGTCGGATCGTGCAGATCGTGTTCGGCCACTTCGGCGTGGTGACGTGCCTGGCGCGCTCCGAGTGCAACATCCTCTCGGACTGCTACGTGGCCTCCGGCGCCGAGGACTGCGCCGTGCTGCTCTGGCACTGGAACGCGCGCTGCCAGATGCTGCTGGGCGAGTCGGAGTGCGCCAGCCCGCGCGCCACGCTCACCGGCCACGAGCGGCCGCTGGTGGCGCTGGTCGTGTCGGCCGAGCTGGGGCTGGTCGTGTCGGCGGCCGCCGGCGGGCCCGTGCTCGTGCACACCACGGCCGGCGAGCTGCTGCACGCGCTGGCGGCGCCGGCCGCCGCCGGGCCGCCGCAGCACGTCGGCCTCAGCCGCGAGGGCCTGATCGTGGCCGCCTACCAGCAGGGCGCCGTCGTCACATACTCGGTGAACGGCCAGCGGCTGCGTCACGACGTCCACGCCGCCAGCATTCAGGTGAGGGCGCGCCGGCCGAGCCGCGCCGCAGGCCGTTTGCCGCTTGTTCGCGCTCTGTTGGCCCGGTGACAATGCTGGTTGTGGGTGGCCGTTTGTCGCTTGTTCGCGCTTCTGTTGGCCCGGTGACAATGCTGGGTGTGGGTGGCCGTTTGCCACTGTCCGCGCCTTGTTGGCCCGCTGAAAATCTGGGTGTGGATGGCCGTTTGCCGCTATCCGCGCTCTGTTGGCCCGCTGACAACCTGGGCGTGTGTGGCCGTTTGCCGCTATCCGCGCTCTGTTGGCCCGGTGACAATGCTGGGTGTGGGTGCGTGCTGGCACGGAAACGCTCGCCTAATGCTTAGGTGGATGTGGTGTGATTTCGAACTGGAAACGATTCAAGTGTTGTGTGCATCAGGAAAGCATAGCGCGATGTTTATGTAGTCTGCTATTTGCCTTCTCGTCGAAAAATCTGTGCTCGCCACTGACCACGGCGCGCCACCTGCCGGGTCCGTGGCCGCCTGCCTTCCGTGCGCTCGTGGCGCCGCCTGACTGTGCTCCCGTGCGACCCTCTTGCAGTGCATGATTCTGTCTCGGGACGGCGAGTACATGATGACGGGCGGCGACCGGGGCATCGTGGAGGTGTGGCGCACTTTCAGCCTCTCGCCGCTGTACGCCTACCCGGCCTGCGACAGCAGCGTGCGGTCGCTCGTCCTCTCGCACGACCAAAAGTCAGTGACTGGCCGCTGGGCCCGACGCGTCGAGCCGCCGCTGTCGTTTGTGATGCAGTCACTCGCGCTGATTGTTTTTTTTTTTTTGGACTAGGACCCTTTTTCCTCTGGCTAGTGGGAGGTCAAATCAGAGCCGTTTGTGAGGCACGAGGCCGCGACCTCTGGGAATTGTGGTCGGTACTGTTGGATTGGGGCCCCTTTTCCTCCGGTTGGTGGGAAGTCAAATCAGAGCCGTTTGTGAGGCACGAAGCCGCGACCTCTTGGAATTGTGGTCGGTACTGAGCTGCTCTGCCCACAACTCTCGTGATCAAGTGTCATTGGATGACAGGTTAACCAGCCCCGTCGCCCAGCATACTGGCGAATGGTTACGGCCACTGCCTGTTCGCCCATTTTCACACCGTTGTGTTTTTTTCAGGTTTCTCATGGCGGGGCTGGCGACCGGCTCGATAGTTTTATTTCACATCGACTTCAATAGGTGGCACCACGAGTTCCAGCAGCGCTACTAGCGCTCGCGCGCCGCGGCACGCGCGCGCCAGCGGACCGCGAGCATTCCAGAGCCGGCTGCGGCGCCTGTACATAGCGCGGCGTCGTCCGAGCGTCGCCGACGCCCCACCTCGGCCATATTCTTAACGAACTAGTCATAGGCGCCGCCGGCGACGGGCAGCGGGCAGCGTCGCCCCGCGGCAGGGGGCGGGCGCCGCGCGTCGTGTCACGTGATGTCCCGCAGCTCAGAACGGCGCCGGCCGCTGTCTCCGGCGGTCCAGCCGTCTTGCCGTCCACCAGTTGCGCCCGCGCGCGCAGCTCACATTCCATCCAGAGATGCTTGCCATGTGCGGCCGCGGAGCCTCGCCCCTCCCACGAGACGCCCGTCGTCACGCGCGCACACACACGCTCGGTGTGGGGCCGCAGCGCGGGCGTCCGGCAGCTGTTCATGCTCAATACATGGTATGCAAGCGCGGGAGACGCGCGAGCGCGGCGCGCTCCACATTCCGGGGCGTCCGCTGACCGGACGGCACTGTGCCGTACGCGGCCGTTATTGTTGTTTTATGTTGATTAGTGATTATGATCGATTACGTGTCGGGTGGCCGAATCACTGGTGCTGGTGTCGGGTTTTATTTACGTCGCTGAGTCGCGTGTGCGTCGATTGGCGCGTGACTTGTCCGACGACCAATCAGAGGCGCGGCAGGTGGCAGCACCGTCGGATTTCTGACGGCGCCGCGTCGTCGGGCTGAGCAGCTTGCCTTTTGCACGGTTGGTCGGTGTGTTCTCGGTGTGCGTCACTTCTGCCGAATATACGGACGGTCAGCGGCGGTGTGTCTGTGTGCTTGGAGGCACGCGCCGGTTGGCGTCCGACTCGGCTTGGTCGGCGGCATACCGAATCGGACTTGGCCTTAGAGTGAGGTGGCGACACCGTTGCCCCCGTCCGCCACCCTCCCCCCGTCCGCCGCCCTTCCCGTCCGCTATCCTCTCCGTCCGCCACCCTCCCCCCGTCCGCCGCCCTTCCCGTCCGCTATCCTCTCCGTCCGCCACCCTCCGCCCGTCCGCCACCCTTCCCGTCCGCTATCCTCTCCGTCCGCCACCCTCCCCCCGTCCGCCACCCTTCCCGTCCGCTATCCTCTCCGTCCGCCACCCTCCCCCCGTCCGCCACCCTTCCCGTCCGCTATCCTCTCCGTCCGCCACCCTCCCCCCGTCCGCCGTCATCCCCGTCCGCTACCCTTCCCGTCTGCCGCCCTTCCCCCGTCCGCCCTCTCCGTCCGCCGCCCCACTCCCCGTCCGCCACCTTCCCAGTCCGCCGCCCTCATTCCAAAGTCCAGCGCGGCTAAAACAACACGGCAGTTTAGGGCGTCGTATTTCACGGTCGATGCACTAAACACGACACAGCACTGTCTGACCAGTCGGGCGCATCGCTCGCGGCAGTCGGCGACTGGGGCGCCGCGAATCCATCCGGGCCCGTCACCCACGCCGAAAGCACGCCACCACGCACAAAACCAGCCGGCACTGGCGGTCAGCACAGCAAGCGCACTTCTAATCTTGGGCTGGCGGTGGTTTCTAGACGCCACGCCGCCGATAGTCTCCGATCACCGCCCCGCTGGAGGGGGGGGGGGGGGGGTACACAGTTGTCGCGTCGCCTCGGAACCGGCTCCGGCTGCGGCTGCGGCTCCGGCCTGGTGCCGGCCTCGGTGGGAGGGTGCGGCGTGGCCGGAGCGGCAGGGTCAGCTCGTCGCCACCGGCGCGGCGCGGGGCGCAGCGCTGCCAGTCGTCCCCGATCCTGCCGCGGAGACAAGGCACGACTACACGTCGGTGTCTATGTTATGCTGAGGAGTCTGCCAAACCTGGGGCCGCGCACGGCTGTGGGGGGCGGCAGGGAGCCCCAGATCGTTAACTGGGCGGGGCTCGAGGGCACGGATTGACGATATAGATATAGATATGGATGATGTATATGGTCTACGTTAGCGCACTGTCTGGTGTTCCTGCATGAAACGAAAGGCCGCAAATTGCGACAGCTGACACTCCTGCTCTGTTTCTGGTGTGCAAACTCCAGCCCGACGAGTCATAAACAAAATTACTGACAGAACCTGGTAAACGGCCACTCACCAGACGACGGCAACAGCTGGCGCCGGGTGCTCAAATTTCTGTCCCCTGTGTCCGACTTTCCCATTGGTTAATCAGAGCTTTTCGGATCTTCCCATCGGAGTGCTTTCCAGATATCTGAAAAACAAATGCACTGCTCGGGAACTGGTATGCGTAGCATATTTTATTGGGGTTTGCACCCGACTTGTTCTTTATCAGCTAGACTGGTATCTAATGGATTGAGATCAAGAGTTAAGGGTTGCTTTTCATTCCAATGTGCCGTGTTTATTACGTCATCAACCAAAATGCGCCGGACTAAGGGAATGAAGAGCTCGATATTCACAGATGCAAGAATACTGAGTAAAGGAATGCGAGCAAGAGCAGTGCTGTAAACAAATCCGCTGTCTGTCAGCCTTGTACACATATTGTCAACTTCGGCTGCAGTCGATATAGTCATATTTTTATGTCCGTGCCTGCGCTGCATCCGTCCTTCCCTCCTGTGCTGCGGCTGGCTATAGTGCGTGGTGGATGGCACCCGGGGCTAACAGAATGGCGGCGCGCGGCCGGGTCTGCCTGTGCTGCGGCTGACTAGTGTGTGGTCGGTGGCACCCGGAGCTAACAGAATGCCGGCGCGCGGCCGGGTCTGCCTGTGCTGCGGCTGACTACAGGGTGTAGTCGGTGGCACCCGTGGCTGGCAGAACGCCGGCGCGCGGCCGGGTCTGCCTGTGCTGCGGCTGGTTACAGAGTGTGGTCGGTGGCACACGGGGCTGGCAGAGCGCCGGCGCCGGCACGCGGCCGGGTCTGCGGCACCTGCTCGTCCTCGTCCAGCAGGCTGGGGTTGGAGCGGGTGCGGCTGAGGGGGCCGGCCGGCGGCGGTGGCGGCTCGGCCGGCTCCTCCGGCCGCGCCGGCTCCTCCAGAGCGGCCAGCAGGTCCGGCTGGGAGCGGGCCAGCGCCCAGCTCCGCTCGCGTCTGGAACACGCGCCCGACGTCAAACGCCGCTGTCTCGCACCGGTCCACACACCAACATGCCAATCAACTACCGGTGAATAGGCGGGGGCGGGTGGGCAGCTCGGGCGAACAGGCAGGCGCGGGTGAACAGCTCGGGTCAACAGGCGGATGCGGGGTACCGCCCGGTCGGCTGACATTCGAAGCCGACACGGCCCGAAGGCACACACGAAGGCGGTTGTGGACTGTGCAATCCAGCCATATGCTATGGGCACAATCTAGCATATGGCCATAGGCTCCAAGCCGTCAGACAAAGCGATCAGTGCGTCTATTTTATTAGTATGGACGCCTGTCTATACACAGATCCGTTCTTAAATTACACCATGACTTGTAATGGCAGGCACGCATTCAGATTTTGTCTGCGTAATGGCACAACGCATAGAATTTGCGCTTGCCCAATATGTAACACACACCTCACTTACGGCCGATAATACCAGTCCACAATAGTTCGCTCCAAACGTACACTTTTTCTAAAAACAGCGGCCTATGGGTGTGTTTACCGCAGTTCGTCCTCCCGCTCCTTCATGCTCTTCAGCTCGAGCTGAATCTTCTCCTCAGCGGAGAGGATGCGCCTGTTGACGGCCGGCCCCGAGCTGCGTCTCTCCACCTGCGTACCGACCGTCCGCGGTTCACACGCCGCTGCGAGTACCGACCGCGCGCGGCTCACACCATGCCAGGAGTACCGACCGCGCGCGGCTCACATCCCGCCAGGAGAGCTGACCGCGCGCCGCTCACCTTGCCACGGGTGCCGATAGCTGCGTTCGGTGGCATCTTTTTTTAAACTCCGACCGCAGCAGGAGCTCATCGGAAACCGGGGCAGACTGTTGATCAACACTGGCTGCTTGATTTGCGACATCGAATGCGGTAAATATACATATGAGATCACTCGCTGCAATAGAGAAGAAGCCGCGTTTATTTAGAACGGAGTGAGGAGTTGCATCTGTCAACAAGTTGCAACTGTCAACTGCTGGGGCGGGGAGCGATCTCGCGCTCCCTGAGAGAGTGAGCTCCCTGTCACGCCGCCTCGCCGCCTCGCTCCGGCCGTCAGAGCCCGCTGACCTGCTGGTGCTGCGGCGCCGGCGGCGGCCCGTCCACCGACCAGCGCGTCTCGAGGCGCCGCTGCGGCGGCGACAGGCGGCGGCCTGAGCTCAGCTGGCAGAGCTGGCCGCGCGACGTCAGGAACTTGTGCAGCAGGCCGCGGCCGACGCCGGCGGAGCTGGCCGCCGACTCCGGCGCCGGCCGCCGGACCCACAACACCTCGGCCGCCCCCCTGGCCATGCTCGCCGGCGCCTGCGACGCCGCAGCGTGTGGTCAGTAGCGCGCGCCGCACGGTGGACCACATCCCGGCGAACGCCCTCGTATGTTACACATCAGCAGCGGCGCTCTCCACGCTCTGCGATCACTTCTTAAGCGAGATCGGGACATGGTACAGACACTGAACCCTGCGACTTCTGTAGGGATGACGCTAGTTGGGACTGTAGCGTTGTTGCGGGGTGCAACACATTAACTGAGTGTAGTTTTCAAGACGATCAGGCTACATGAACATATCACTACTCTGCTAGCATTGAACGAAAAGGGGCATAACCCGCGTCCAACCCGCGTCCTCGTGGAACTCGTAACTTATCAAAGTCAAGAAAGATCTACCCAAATTATTGCCAAAAAGGATGCAAACCTTGCAAGAGTTTTGTCGACCGAACAAAGCAACATAGCGCTCTAACACCATATTCAGCGGGGCTGCGAATCACCTTAGCTCTCACAAGAGAACTTTGGGAAAGTTTGCAAAAGTTGCAGTGTGTTGCAAAAACAGTTTTCTGTTTGGGACATCAAGATAGCGTTCTTAAACCACCTTCGATGTTCTCGCTAGGCATTGAAGATTCTGATGGCAAATTTGCAAATTGTTGCAAAATGTTGCAGAAGGCTGCAACAGTGAATTACGGCAAAACGAGACGCCATAGAGTTCTAGGACCACTTCCATTCTCTTGGCAAGGTCCGACAGACTCAAACTAGCAATTTTCGAAATATTGCAAAGTTGTCCAAAAATTGCACATAAAGCTGCGGTCACCCCCCGCAACGGTGCAGGATTTCTCGCGGCTCCTCACCGTCCCGGCGGCCGTCTGGTGGCCGCCGCCGTCGCTCCGGCCGCGCGGCGGCTGCTGCTGGACGTTGCTGGAGCTCGCGCTGGCCGCGGCCGGCGGCCGGTCGCGGCTCCGCCTGCCGCGCCGGGTCCCGCGCTGCAGCTGCCTCCCGAGCGGCCCCCGGCTGCCGGGGCACGCGCCGGGTCAGCGGCGCGCGGCGCCTGCGACGCGGAGCGCTCGGCGCGGCACAGGGCGGCCGGCGGCTACACAGGGTCGCCGCTCATGTCAGTGTTTGACGAGAGGTTTGTAAGTGAAGAGGCCTGCTGGGGTGGCCAGCGTTTGATGCTGAGATTTGGTTCACAGATTGTTTGCGGTGCAGCCTCATCGGCACGTTGGATAATTGTGGACTGTTCATCCCGACTAGTTATCCAACGGAATGATAATTACCGGGGACGATGCAACATTACTTTCCCTGCCGGCGCGCCTGAAGACCTCAAATGTCATATCATCAGCTACCAACTGCGGCATGACCACCAACTGGTTTGACGCTGACTCAGCAGTTTTCCCAGGAGCTGCCGGTTTATTCCGACTACACCGTCAGTTTGGTTATGTTGTCATTGTTTGAGGAGAGGTGTGTAAGTGAATATGCTTGCTGGGGTGGTTAGGTATTTTGGCCGAGTTATTTGTACGACCATGGACGCGGTAATCTCTAAAGCCAAGTTTTGTCAAATATGGAACGTTATTCCCCTTTCACACTGAATACCAAAAACACAAAGCATCCGTGCAAAAGCATCAAGAATAGCGCCCAAAGCGCAGCCGTGAGTGACGAGTGGCGAATCACCGACCACTGGTGTCGCCGCGCAGGCTTGGCCGACGCCAGGCGGGCAGCGCCTGCCGCGAGCGTGCTCACGTGGGCTCGGCTGCTGGGGCTGGGCGGCGGCTGGCCGGCGCGCAGCGCCAGCTCGCGGCGCCGCTCCTCCTCGCGCTCCTTGGTCAGACGAATCTCGCGCTCGATCGGAGTTTCCGCCGACCTGGTGACGCCGGCGCGAGCTCGTTAAAGCTGTCGCATGCGCCGCTCGAGCGGCAGGCTGGGCGAACTGTCGCTGGCGGCATCTCCGGGCTCGGCCCAGGCCTCGGCTCGATTCATTTGGTTAGGCGGGGTACAATGACATCATGCACACTCCTGCGTTCTTTTTCTGGGGATTTGATGCCAACCATCACGAGGGCACGGTGGGCAAGAGTGAAATAAGATAAAGGTGTGAATTGAGTATACTTAATCAGAACTTGTGAGGCAAATGACACACAAGACCAAAACACAACCAGGGCACGACATCAAAGTCATATTGCCAAAACAGAAAATGACTGCGCTTAGTTGGAGCAGGAGTTGAGGTAGGCTTTGAATGCTGTATAATGACCGATACACATCGCAGACAAGTTGAGAAAGCGGACTCTAAGCATTTTAATCTCTTGACCACGACCTTTTCCTACAACTTCGCGAAAACTACCCAATGCGATATGCACAAACTTGTCCAGTAAGACGGAGCTCTAAAATTTGCAACGTTTCTTGTCCTGCTGACCTGCTCTATTAGAGAAACAAGCATAGTTCCGCGCTTCAAGACAAATGATATTCTGAGCTTGTAGTGCGCTTCTTTCTAGACCAGTTCACCTATGCTAATGCCAGAGACGGACCGAACCTGCTTAATGTTTTAAGCCTTTTCACGAACAGAAAAGTAACCAGTACATTTACAGGTCATTGACTGCGGCTGATCAGCTCACAGTCGCGCCACGTTTGTCGATTTCACAACCTGAAATGACGCTGCAAATAAGGTCGCAGTTTTTCAGCGTAAGGATCCGATCCCGATCTTAATGGGCCGTTACGTCACCCCTGAACCGGGGTCAAGGTTCATGCAGACACCAATGCTCGCACAGCGTCTGGGCCGTGCTCTTATACCCTGCATGAATCTCATAATAAACGAAGCGGACCCCTCAGAGTCCCAGGTTCAGGCCGGCAGCTCGAGTATGCGATTAATGGCTGCATGGCTAAACGGTGTCAGCTGAAAACAACTGCCACTGGGACCAATCACCACGGGTTTCGCTGGGTTTGTTGAGCGGCGCAGCAAGCATTGGCAGCAGCCAGCCGGAGCGCCACCCGATCCGAAGGTCCTGGGCATGACGCGGGTTCCCCTGCTCCGGGTCCAGCGCACACTGCATGCCCGGCGCGGGGGGCCGGTCCGCAGTCTGTCGACCCCGACAACTGTAACGCCACCTCGCACACGGGGCGTCCACAGAGACGAGAGCGCGCCGCCGGCGCCGGGCGCGCCGGCGCCGGCGGCCTCTGGGCGGGCCGTCACCTGGAGAAGGAGGTCCACTCGTGCTCGTTGTCGTCCTGGTCCTCGTACGGGCGGACGGAGACGGCGCGGCGGCCGGCCGGCTCAGCGGCCCGCTCCGAGCCCAGGCCGGAGCTGTGGCACGAGTTGACGATCTCCTGCGAGCGGCGCAGCAGAGGGCCGGCCCGCGTGGAGCTGCGGGCGGCGGCAGCCGTGTTAGCACGCGGTGGGCACCGTCGCTCGCGCCGTTCTCATGCCGTGAAAATACAATGTGCGCCGAGACGATTGAGCGTATAGGCTAAAAGAAGACCAATGCTGCAAGACAGCTATTGTGGTATCGAAATAAATCATGAGAATGATCAGGCGATAAACTTAGGCCGTGTCTGGTAGGCTTTAGTGTTACAATAAAAAACCATAACAAGTAGTTCTGTCTTATACGCCTGTCTGCTGGTCATGCGACAAGCTGTACGGAACGATGACTGGTGAGCCAGGGTGTCGCCACGACTGACCACGTGGGACGTCACAGTGGAGTGTTGCTAGGAAGCGGTTTACATGGAGCCAGACCACGTGACCTGACTCACAGAGTACGGTGATGTACTTGATGAGTGGAATGAGAAGCTACAAGCTGATATGTTCTTGTTTGATTTCCCCACATGATTGGAAATGACTTCATTATTGACACGCATCTTGTTTTGATCAGGCTACAGTACTATTAACAAAGACCTTAAGGGCCAATAGCTATAGCGACCCACGTGCTAATATGAGTTGAATGAGATCAACGGTAACTCGCAAGTACTTGGAAATTATAACCTCCTGATGTGCAGACCAGCACGCACTCAGCGACTGGCGTGCGGTAAAAGAGGACCAGCCCCTCTACGACTGGGCAAAACACTCTGTGCACGCCAAGCTGACAGGCATGCTTATAATAAACACGAGTTAGCCAGTGACGACGAGACATTCAGGCCAGATAGCGTCATGACAGACCAAACGGCCGTGAGTCCACCGAGACAGCCATCCGGCCAGCGGGGACGCTGAGGTCAGCCAGGGAAGTCGCCTTGTGACGCCAGCTGGGCCGTGTGCTCCTGACTCGCTGACGGAGATCTTATAGTTCCTCGTTAACTCCGCGTGTGCGGTCGCGGGGCAGTGATGGTAATGACCCATCCGGCCGCGAGGAAGAAGGGCACGCCCTCATCAGACGTCATCGAAGGCAGTCATTGCCTGGGCTCTGCTGAGACGCCATCCTTCCCCGGCGGTGACGTTGACGCCCACGCCAGTCCTCCGCCCTGGAGCCCCTCCCCTCCCCCAGCTCTCGGCGTCGACGCCTCTGAGTCGGCGCGTCGCGTGGTCTTGCAATGGTCGACTGCAAATGCAGCACAGAACAGCACGGGGCGCATGAGTTAACTAGATACACAACGCCAAGGGCGCATCCAGTGCACGGACCTGCCGACCGACTGTGGCTGGTTAGGCTACCTCGCGGTTAGATTAAGTTTGGTTTGGCAACATTCGTAACGTACGTTCGGTGTTTCCCAGACCTATGAATGAAATCAAATTGAATGACTTAATTTCGACGCCTCAGCAATGGAGTAAATCTTCCCGACAGTCTGGCTGGATGCGCCTCTGACGTCACAACACAGCCTGCTTTGTGATTATGTCACCGGCGGCCGGGTAATGGAGCAGGGCCGAGTGGGCATCCGTCGCCGCGCCGAGCGCCCGCCGCCCCGGCGTCCGCTGGCCTGTGTTTGTGTCTGCTGACGCGTCGGCGGCATGTGGGGCCCATTCAGGCACGATCAGCGCAAACCGAGTGAATGCAGTGTCCATATTAATCAGCAGATGTCGGCTAATCTCCGGGATGAGAGGCACAGCCACGCGCTTGACTCCGCTCGAGTTCAAAGGAGAAGAGCCGCGTGTGCCGAACGCCGGTCGCCGGCGTGACTAATGCGCAAGGTTATGTCCCGGCTGGCTGTGAGTGAATGGCGGTCAGAAGGGCAACTGCCAGCGATGGTAGCGATTTTCTTCACTCTTGGGACGCGCAGGATCTGACAGCCGGGTTACAGTCTTACTGGAGAGACACCGAGCTTTGCATCATACGCTATGTCCTCAGTGATTTTATTCTGGTTGGCCGGAAATGACCATGATGGTGTGCCGGCCGCGATCTACGACGGCTGCTTGTGATGCTCGAACTGCAATGTCGTAGTTTGTATTTCGATTTAATGTGATTTGGTATGTTTAAGTGGAGACTCACTCAACTATCTACCATTACCAAAGATGCTGAGGTTCCCGCCTCCGTTTTGTCAGCACAATGGCTGACATCTATACCACTGTGCTCCCTGGCATGGAATCTAGCGCGATACAAACTAAACTCTTCGGAACAGGTGGCGCATCCAGGTAGGAGCAGGTGACACAAGGGGAAGATGTTCGACAACATGCTACATCTGCCTCCCTACCGCCCTCTCTCCCTCTCTTCCTCCCTCCCACGCCGTGCCTCACCTGTTGGACTCCTCGGCCAGGCTCTCCTTGTCCTTGCTGTCGTAGCCGGATGGCGGCGCCTCCTGGCCGGAGGAGGCCGCCCGCAGCCGCTGCAGCTCCGCCTCCCGTCGGCGCAGCTCACGGATCTCGCGTGCGATCCTCGTCTCAGGCGCCGTGACGGCCTCACCCGCTCGCCGCGGCCGCCAGCCCTCCTCCGGCCGGGCATCGTCGCCAGGCGCCGCGCCTCCGAACGCCTGAGACGGCAGCAGGCCACCGGGTGCCGACATCCTGGAGGAGCTGGAGGAGCGCGAGTCGCCGCCGCCGGAGGCCGCCGCGTCCGCCTGGATCCGCCGCTCCAGGAAGCGCTTGGTGCGCTCCTTGTTGGCGAGGATGGAGAGCGAGTCCATGCCTGGGGCGGAGGATCGAAGCCGCCGTCAGTGGAGCCGGAGCGGCTGCGGTGCGGCCGCAGCAGGCACTGCGGCGAGGGCCGATAGCGAGCCGGGAGCACCGTGTCAGGATGACACCCACCCGATAGCGGGACCGCGACAGCTCTTTACAAGTTGGCGATAGGCATGGGCGTAAGCACCGCCCGGGTCGGTGGGGTCAGAACGCCAGCAAGTTTTGATTCAGGATTGGACACTTTTTGTTTTGGACCATATCGAAAGGCACCCAAGCAACTGGGACCCCGGTGGCCGCTAATGCGGGGTTACGCCCCTGGCGATGCGGCATCACACACTTCTCCGTCCCTTCTCGGAGGTCACCGCCGCCTTTGCCGGGCTCGACTCAGGGCGACGCTTCAACGCCGTGATGATGTCTCGTGACCCTGGTGAGGTGCCCCGGCCGCCGCCCGACTGCTACCGATCTGTACTGCCACCGCGGGCGGCGCGCACACAGCAGAGCGTCTCAGACATGGCCAAAAGGGCGGCAGAGAAATGCAGCACGCTGACGAGGCGTCAACTTGCGCACATACTTTATGAGAAGCTTCGTTCCCACAGTGTCACGACACATGACCTGTGACTTTCCCCATGACCTGTGACCTACGTGGTCTGTCAGGTGCCACTTGCATCCGAGCTCCAAATAGGTTGGGAGTTCTATCACATAGTCAATCGGCGGCCACGTGAACCTCCATGCGAAATTGTTACATTTGTGGCGTTTGCCAGCGAACGACGCTCGCCCTCTTCGCCTTTACTTTCACAAACTTCTAGCTTTCTCCACTTGTGCGTATTGCACCACTTTAAACGTGCCTTCTGCGTTTTGTTTTAAGGCTTTGTATGCTTATTACATCCATCGATTTCATCAGTCACGCGGGAAAGAGAGTCAAAGCTGCAGATAACACCCTTGAGAGTAGTAAAAGTAGCCTTTAAGGTACAGAGGGCACAGGCCTTCGATCTCGTGCACGAAATATGTTTCCCGGTAGATAAAGCGCAGGTCAGCACCCAATATAATGATATCAATCAAACGCAGATGGTAAAATGCGGGAAAATATCTTCACAACAGCGATATGTATGTCTAGACCTCTCCTATCAAATCCGCATGGCTATCAGCTGATGCGTTCTCCCACAAGGACTCCCGCAATGCTCACGTGGGTCCTTCTCAGAGCTCATGAGATCACACTATCATATCTTTTGACAATTTGTGTGGAAGACAGATTATCATGGACTATGACTGCCACCGCGATTCGACCGACTGGAGTTTGATCACGGAGTAAATCATTGCCGCTGCGGACCCTCGCGGTCAGGATTGTTCTCTGTCCAATCAAACCAATACCTGTGGGTGTACTGGCCTGTTCGTTCGACACCCGTTTGAGAGCCCGTTGGAGATGCGCTAAACTGCAAAAAAACGCGTTCACAAAAACGTCCCACCAAGCGCACAGGTGCAAAAGAAGCTTCGATGCATGTGTCTATGCCTGCGAATGCATGTCCATTTTTGCAGGGATAGCCAGCACTCCTGCGGATCCGCCCGGGGCTGAGTGTCGTTCACCCAAGAACTGGTGGCGTTACGTCACGCCCCCGCTGCGCCTGACCCCTCACCTCGGCTTGATGCAACGGACGTCTGGCCTCCGGCGCCGCATCTAACGTCCGGGGCGTGGGAAAACAGCCGCGAGGTGGCAGGGCTGCTCGGCCCCGGATACGGTAGTGGGATCCGGGCCATGCAGCCAGCCCTCGCTCTGGAGAACCGCTACTCGGACCCAGGCTGGGACCATCCATGGTCGGACCTGGACCTGAACGAGCACTAGGTGGAGGTGTCAGTGTCAGTCGGACCGGTCATGGACACCTGCCGGTAGGACGGGGTCCGGATCACCATCAGTCAGATCGGGACCTGAGCCTAATTATCACCGTCTAAACCTAAACCAGCCAGACCTGGACCGGACTGTGCAGCCCGACCCGGGCCAAAGCCCAGGCCTGGATCGACCTGGAAGGACCTGGATCGACGTGCGATCTATCTGGATCGAAAAAGGAGCAGCCGAGAAAACCTGGTCGAGGCCTCAGCCAATCCGACCGATGCGGGAGCGATGTTGCCGCAACAGTGGCAAGCGAGCTCTGACCACTGTGCATCGATGAAACTCTGTGGACCAGTCATACCAGGAGCTCTGCCAGTCAGCCAAAGGCTGCCGCCTGCCGAATCCAAAGCCAGGTCCAGCCACAGCCAGACCAGGAGTGGAGGGACCTGACCAGACCATCCGGTGCCCAGCTACAGACCAGCGGGACAATACCAGCCGGTACCCAGCTACAGATCAGCAAGACAAGACCAGCCGGTACCCAGCTACAGTCCAGCGAGACCAGACCAGTCGGTACCCAGCCAGTACCCCAGGCCACAGTCCAGTGAGACAAGGCCATTCGGTACCCAGCCACAGTCCAGCGAGACCAGACCAGCCGGTACCCAGCCACAGTCCAGCGAGACAAGGTCAGTCGGTACCCAGCCACAGTCCAGCGAGACAAGACCAGCCGGTACCCAGCTACATTCCAGCGAGACAAGGTCAGTCGGTGACCCAGCCACAGTCCAGCGAGATCAAACCAGTCGGTACCCAGCTACAGTCCAGCGAGACAAGGTCAGTCGGTACCCAGCCACAGTCCAGCGATATCAAACCAGTCGGTACCCAGCTACAGTTCAGCGAGATCAAGCCAGTCGGTACCCAGCTACAGTCCAGCTAGACAAGACCAGCCGGTACCCAGTTACGAGCCGCGCCAGTGCGCACCGACTGGGAGGCCCAACGATTGACGGTCAGTAGCGTCACTCTGCCCCGCGCATGGCGTGACGCGGCTGTAACACTCCGCACCAGAAGTGTCACGATCGCGCCTCACCAAGGAGCGCTCTAGGTCAGAGCCCAGCGCGACACGGTGGCCAAGAGCGGCCGCTCAGCGTCCGGCAGATGCTCCGGCGGGGGCACGACAACTGAGTGGATGGAAGCTGTCTTCGAGTGCTCTCGGAAATGTTAGGAATCAAAGCTGAACGTAGCCAGCTGCCTGATGCAGCACGAGAGCTGGCTGAGACAGAAAGGCAAAAGTCGCCCTGGCTGATGCTGGAGATAGCCGCGACACAAGACCGATGCTGAACGACTCGATAACCCGAGCGCTCTGGGGCCTTTTTCTCCTAGAGGGTCTATAGCGCCCAGGCACTTGACCGGAGAGCGGTCGAGCGCCTCCACAACAGCGACCAGATCAACACGCCCCACCCGAGCTCTGTTCCGTGCACTGATAAACAGCAGCACTGGGTGGGACTGTGCCCCCGCACCTGCCGAGTACGACGCTCCACACTGCACTTCGACCACCGGCATTACTGAGCTGGCGGTCCCGGGTCCGGCAGACCAGTCACAGCAGCAAGCACATCGCGCAGCGACGCCCGCACAGCGCACAGCGGCGCTAGGCTCGGCCCGCTCCAGCGCGCCCCACCCTCTCGACGGCGGACGGCGCGCGACTGCCGCGCAGGGGCGCCGCCGGGCCTGGCACGACTGGACGGCGGCGGCTGGCGGCCGCAGAGGCGCACCGCACAGCAGGGACAGCGGCCGCTGGCGGCAGCAGCGGCGCACCGCACAGCAGGGACAGCGGCCGCTGGCGGCAGCAGCGGCGCACTGCACAGCAGAGACGGTGGCGGCTGGCGGCCGCAGCGGCGCACTGTACAGCAGGGACACCGGCGACTGGCGGCCGCAGCGGCCACTGTACAGCAGGGACGGCGGCGACTAGCGGCCGCAGCGGTGCATCCCACAGCAGGGACAGCGGCCGCTGGCGGAAGCAACGGCAGCACTGTACAGCAGGGACTGCGGCGGCTGGCAGCCGCAACGGTGGTCTGCACAGCAGGGACGGAGGCCACAGCAGGGATAAACATTTCAGTGGCCGGAGCGGGACAAAGGCCACGGCAAGGACAGTGACTGGAGCTGTGGCCTGAACAGCAGGGGCAGCTGCCCCAGCACGGACAGCGACTGTAGCGTCTGGAGCGGCGGGCTGATCAGCAGGGCGCAGCGAAGCCAGTCACGAGCGGCGGCGGAGACACAGAGCAGTTTCGCATGAAGCGAGCGATCTCAGAATCTGATTGGCTGCTCCAAATACCGATCGCCGGTGGACTTCCTAACCGGGCTTCCTTGCTGTACTGGTCTGATGAGCAGTATCTTTGTCTTTGAACGAAGAGAGAACATTAATGGCGAGGCATTTAAAGAAACATGTTCAAGGGTCGAACAGAAGGCTACAGAGGAAGCCTCAAGCACCCTTTTTAGAGACATGAAGGGCTAAGGCCCGTGCCTGCGAATGGGGCTGGGGCGACTTTTCGATCGTGCTGCACAGCTGCAGTGCAAGCTCCGTTCCCAGCCAGCCACCCCTCCGGCTGGCTGCGTCCGGCTGCAGCGCCAGCTCCGGTTCCAGCCAGCCACCCCTCCGGCTGCAGCGCCAGCTCCCGTTCCAGTCAGCCACCCCTCCGGCTGCAGCACCAGCTCCGTTCCCAGTCAGTCACCCCTCCGGCCGCAGCGCCAGCTCCAGTTCCAGACAGCCACCCCTCCGGCTACAGCGCCAGCTCCAGTCCGGGAGTAAACACGTCGCGGTCCACTTCGGCGGCTCATCAGTTATCTTGAATGGTGCGGTGCGCGGTGTTTACGAAGCCGCGGTCGGTTAACGACGCCGCCGGCGGCCTGCCGGCGCCGGTGAAGACGCCGACCGTCATCAGGGAGCTGATAGGGCCGCTGCCGGCTCAGATCTGCCGTCGGTTCATGTGACCGAGCGGCGACATGTCAATGACGTTGGTCATGCCGAGGCACGGTAGCGATTTATGACATGGGCCACTCAAGGGTTCCGTCTGTTTGATCACCTGCCAGCGTATGACCATGTCAGAACAAAGTCACCGCCAGGTACGCGGCCGTTTTGGAATGTACAAAACACACATTTCAGGGATTCAGCGTCGCTCACTGGATGTTCAGCTTCAAAA